CATGTTGGGGAGGCCAAACGTCAATTTTAGCTGAGACGTCCCACCAAAATCGGCGCGAACGGGCTCGTGAGATCAGCCAGGGTGGCTCCCCCTTGGGGCTCCCAAATGATGCCCCTGGCAGCGTTTTGTGACCATGAGGCTCTCAAGAGAGACATGTTGGGGAGGCCAAACGGCAATTTTAACTGAGACGTTCCACCAACATCGGCGCGAACGGGCTCGTGATATCAGCCAGGGTGGCTCCCCCTTGGGGCTCCCAAATGAAGCCCCTGGCAGCGTTTTGTGATCATGATGAAGTGTGAGTGAAATCCGCCGATCCGGCGTGTGAGTTTCAAGCAGTCTCAGCTACAGCCTCGAGGCTGAGCTTCAGCCTCTGGGGGGGTCGCCGGGGTGGCTCTGCCGGGGAAGGGGGGGTGTGGGGGGGGGGGGGGGGGGTGCGAGTTTCCGGCGAACCCCGGGGCCGCTCCGGGGGAGTGGAAGATAGGGGGGGGGGGGGCGCCATGCTCCGCTTTTTCCGGCGCTTTGGAGGAGGGGGGGGGCCCAAGAGACCCCCAAGGGGTTCCAAGAGGGCCCCGAGTCGCCGAAAAATCGCTCCAAGACGCCCGAGATGGCCTCCAGACGGCCCAAGGTGTCTCCAAGACGCCCCAAGAAGCTTCCAAGAGGCCTCCCAAGAGGGCCCCAAGAGGCCAGAATCGTTGATTTTCATTGGTTTTCTCAGGGTTTTTAGCGTTCTTGCCTTTTCGGGCGTCCGACGCTCGAAGACGGCCCAAGAGGCCCCCAAGTCCGTCCCAAGACGGCCCACGATGCTTCCAACACGGCCCAAGAGAGCCCCAAGACGGCCCAAGAGGGCCCCAAGACGGCCCAAGAGGGCCTCTGGACAGCCCAAGAAGGCCCCAAGAGAGCCCCAAGAGGGGCCCAAGAGGGGGACCACGAACCGAAAGAACCGAGCTTTCCGCCCCAAGAGGCCCCCAGGAGGCCCCAAGAGACCCCCAAGGGGCCCCAAGAAGCCCACAAGAGGCCCAAAAGAGGTTCCAAGAGGCCCCAAAACAGCTCCCCAGAGGCCTCCAGACTGCCTCCGGCAGGCCCCCGGTTTCTTCCGCGGCACCGCCCAGGGCGCCACCGGCAGGATGTCCTCCGTCTCATCGTTTTCCTTCAAGTTATCGCCTCTTCCTCATTCTCCTCCTCCTCCTCTGCGACCTCACTCCTATCCCTCAACGATCGCGTCACCGAGTGCCTCTTCTTTGAAACATCCTCGCTCTTCAAACGCACATCCATACACACATGCATACATACCTACATTTAAACACATTTGCATACATAGAAAAACAATCTTCCAGACATACATACTTACATTCACACACATACACACATATTATCATACACACATACAAACATACATACAAACTAAATACATACATACGCGCACAAGCATACATACATACATACGTACCTACACACAGGCACACATGATCAATGCATGCATACATGCATGCACGCGTACATACACACACATATATCGTGAAACTCACCGCGTGCTCGAAACTTGAGAGAGACCGCGGGAAGTCGAGAGAAGCCGCGGAACGAGGCCTCTACTACTACTACCACTACTACCACAACCACTACTACTACTACTACTACTACTACTACTACTACTACTACTACTACTGCTACTACTACTACTACTACTACTACTAATACTACTACTAGTACTACAGGAGCGTTTCCCAACTAGTATGTGTGTGTGGGTGATGCTGTGTGCGCATGTCTGCGGCGCAGGTTAAGTGGTGTGACTGTGTGTGTGCGTTTGAGTGTGCGCCCATAATTTCTGCGTCTGGAGAATAACCCCGAGCGACCCGGATCGGCGGCACTGGCCGAAGGCCACTACAATCTCTTATCTTGTCTTAGCTTATCTTATATCAACTCATCTTATCGCATCATATCTTGTCTTATCTTATTACTCCATAGGCTGTCTTATCTTATATATTATCATACCTTGTCATATATATTATCTTACCTTATCATATATTGTGCTATATTATCTTATCTTGTAGTATCTTATCTTGTCTTGTCTTATCTGGTGATTATCATTGGGAGGAGGGAGGCGCGAGCGGGAGGAAGGAGGAGCAGTGGGAGGCGTCAGAGTAATAACAAGAACCCCAATCCTTAGGATATGGGGAAAAATCGGATCGGTTGAAATCGGCGGCCGAGTCGGGAGACGTCGAATCGGATCGAACCGGAGAAATCGAAGCGAGCCCTGGAGGGGCCGAGCTTGCCGCAAAGTGCCCGCGACGAGTCCTGTTTCGCGACCGTCGTGGAGCTTTTAAAGTCCACCCGCATACTTGGCTCCAACAAAAGTTTCCTTGGAAACTCGCAAGACGAATCATATGTATGTAAACCCGTCGGCAAGATGAAAAGTCGCGCGCGCGTGCTCAGCGTTCGCACGCACGCGATCCCAAGACGTCCCATCGCCACAACATGTTTCCAGGAATGCCTTAGGCCACGGACGATAACGTCCAGAGGACCCAGGATGATGCCACCCCAACGCGATCCCGCCATGGATTCTGGACCGTGTCAGGCCGACTCGCAGATGACGCAACACATGGGCAACGCGCGACGCCGGGATGGCCCGATGGCAACAAGATGGATCCAAGCGCACCCAGGGTGGCCTCATAATGACCACGCGATGGTTGCGTGATCCAAACATGACCGGGATATGATCTCAAGATGACCTGAAGACGACCCCAACACGGCAATAATACTGCAACTTATGGGCCCCATCTTACTTCGAGCCGATCCCAGCATGGTGGGATCCGTGAACGACCCGGGATTTTGGTCTACCCCATGTTTAATGGGTGGGATTTTGATCGTCCTGAACTAAACTTATAATATTAAAGCGGAATAAGCCAAGCGGGATCCCGCCCGGCCCACGGAGGAAGACAAGATTGCTAGGCTTCTATGGGGGGTAGGGGGTTCGGAAGGGGCGTCGTTTAATTCCGCTGACATTGGCAAGCCTTCTAGCGGCCTTCCCCCGTCTTCCGCCTCGTTTTACTTCCGTCGACTTCCGCCGGCCAGCGTCGTGATGAAAATTCAAGGAACTTTCATTGGGCCGATGTAGTACGGATGGGCACCCTTCCCGAGGGTACCCTCGCATCCTTGCCTCCTCGGTCCATCCTTGGCCAATTTCGCCGGCCGCGCTCTGCTCGAAAAGCTTCGAAATGAACGCCCCAAACCCACGCATCCTTATCGCGCACCCCTATGATACGGGCCGTCTGCATGGGCGCTAGCTCGTTTCGGTACAGCCCGAAGGTTGAAGGCGTGGACGTTGGCACCGCCGGCACAGGGGACTGCCTCCGCCAGGGAAATTGATCCTAGACTTCGGGGTCGGCGACAATGCATTTGGGCCGCCTGGGCGGCCCGAGTAACACCATCTTCGCCGAGGTCGGGATCATATTCCCTCGGCGGAAGCACACCGCCGATATTGGTGTCGGTGAGAAGGCCTCGCCGGCCGTGCCTCGTGGAGCCGAGCGCACGGCGAAGGAAGCACAGTGAAGAAGTAGTGCGCGTTGCTCGTGGGGATAGGGGGGGCCTGGGCGCCCATCCTGTACGGATCCTGCCCAGGCCGACCCCAGGCCTGGCGCTGGTGCGTGCGCCACCAAGCAGAAAGGCAGGAAGGCGCACGCGCCGAGCGCCAGGGGCCGCCCGTACACGTGGCTACGGCTCAAGTGGTCTTGTAGACCAGCGGAAGGTTGTGGTCGCAGCCCGGTGCCAGCTGCAGGCTGCGGGCAACCTTCCCATGCCGCCTTGTCCGGCATGGGCCGGAGGCGCGTGCGGAAGGGCCAAAATCGGAACAACTCTGCACAAGAGTGCGGAGCCCGCCCGGGCTCCCGTGCCGCACCGCCCCCATCGTGTCCCTGCCCCGCGTGTGGGGGCAGGGAGGGCCGGGGCCTGGGAATGAACATGAAAAAGACCCAGGAAGCCGTACCATTCAGCCTCGCCCTCACGAGGAAATGCACCAAGCAAAAAACTACTTAAATAAATATTGCCAGAAACCTGCCCAGCATTCCAAGCTCCACCTCCAAAGCAAGCGGCGCTGGCACGACCAAAAGCACACCTACCCCGAGGACGCGTAATGAGGGATACAGCCGTAGGCGATCCACGTGCCATTCTATGCAACTCCATGGGTGACACAAGTGTGTGTACAAGAAAGGCGGACAACAGCCGGGCTCCACAGCGGACGACAGTCGACACTATGAAGGCAGTAGGGCCTGCTCCCAAAAAGAACGGAAGTGATGAACAGGCCTCAACGATGCTTGCAATAGAAACCTAAGTTAGTGATAGCGGCACAGGAGGGCATGCTTCAAAAGACGCGGCTGTAAAGCCCCTCTGGCCAGCAAGGATACCATGCAGAGGAGAAGAGGAAGGACGACGACGACGGCCACGAGGACGACGAGGAGGAAGACGCACCTTGCTGGCCAGACACGCCGGAAGTTAGCCCACTGAGGGCCAGGTGGCATGGGTGGACAGGAAAGAATGTTTCAGCAAAAAAAAGCTAGGAATGCGAGGCCCCCTGTAGCCGCGAGCCACGCGACCCTGAAAGCCCGTGGAGACCCCCACGAGCCCCGCCCGGGCGGCGCAGGTGCCGTCACAGCCGCACGGCTGCGGTACCACCTTGCGGCCGCGGGGCTGTGAGATCGTTAGCCGCTGTCAGTCGCACATGTTCCTGCTGTACGTGCTGATCGCGTTCCTCGTGGGACCTCGTAGAGGTGATCTCTCCCAGCGTCTTGTAGACCACGTCCGCCTCCGCCGTACCTCGATGGGGTAGCGTTGACCCTGGCGAAAGGGAGGCAGAGGAAATCGAGGTAGACGTTTGCCCCCCCCTCCTCCTCCTCCTCCGCCTCCTCCTCCCTCGTCCTCCTCCTCCTCCTCCTCCTCCTCCTCCTCCTCCTCCTCCTCCTCCTCCTCCTCCTCCTCCCTCCTCCGCCCTCCTCCTCGCCCAGCGGGGCCTGCTGGTGCATGCCCTCCAGGAGCTCGATGCGCTGTCGCTGGACGCTGGCCTGCCCGCCGCGAGGGGGGGGGGGGGGCTCTCGAGACGAGAGCGTCCTCCTCCTCCTCCTCCCTCCTCCTCCTCCTCCTCTTTCCTCCTCCTCCTCCTCTTCCTCCTCCTCCTCCTCTTCCTCCTCCTCCTCCTCCTTCTCCTGGGTGGGTGGGGGTGGGGGGGGGGGGGGGGCGACGGGCATCGAGGAGCGGGGCGCACTCCTCCAGCTGGGGCAAGATAAGTAGAGGCACGGGCGAGGATCCCTTCGGACGAAAATGAATCAAGAATCTCTGAGATCCCGCGGCTCTGGGTGATGCGTTGGGCGCCGCGGCCTTCTCAGAGCGTGCCGGAACGCTGCAAGAGCGTCCTGGAACGCTCTGGAACGGAGTTATCCTTGGCTTGGCCCCGCCCGAATGCGGCTGGCAGGATGCGCCAGCATCGGATCGGTAAATCGGATCGACTCGAAAAGTGCATCGAATGGGCCTGCATCGGCACGGGCTGAAAATCGAATCGGGTCGGCTGCGCCCAAGTGCACAGCAGCACCATGCAATCACCGGCCCGCATCGGATATCCAAGAACTCGAATTTGAATCGGATCGAATTGACCGAAAACGGTATCGAATCGGATTGAAATGAGCCCTGGGAAATGACCGGAAGCGAGACACGTAAACCGTAGGTTACGTCGGTGCATCTTCATTGGGGTCGCAGAACCAAAGATGGTGAAATACGTTCCCTGTGTTCTCCCGCAGGAATCGCTTCAGCGTGCTGCGCCAGGCTCGGCACTGGACACACCATAGCTGGCATGAATAATTTTCTTTAAGGAGACCTCCCAGGCGAAATCGTACAACTTGCTGTCGTACGGGTTCTCTGAAACGATCCAGTCACGATCCTCACTAGCGAACGTGCCACTAAATCCACGGACGTTTCATTCGTGTCGTTATGGAATAGGTTGTTGCGTTCCGCTGTCGTAGCATACATGTTCGGACAATCCTGGGAATGGCCAAGCCATTCACTGATCAGCGCCGCACTGAATCCAGCCAGTCGCGGCTCTGTCAATTCCGAATATGTTTCGCCAGCGCCCAACCATCGATGTAGAATCTCGGACGATTCCCCTCGGCCCGCGCCAACCAACCTCTTGGCATATCGATTCACCCAGCGCCCCCACATGTTTTCTCCAGGGCAGTGAATGCCTCCATCACGAGAAGTACCTCTCATACAAAAGCATCCCGAACAACACTCCGCAGTGCTCCGAAGCAAAGAATAGCACTGCGCGCGTGTTCTCCTCGACTCATGTCCAGGGTTACGTCTGTGCCAAAGGGCGGCGCGTTTTCTGGATTGTCCAAGTAATAGGAACAAGCCTCGCTCACATCGCCAAGGTTCACGCTGATGAAAGATTCCATGCGTGCAACTGGTTCCCGCAAGCAGGTCACGGTAGCAATGTCGTTGGACCCTTTTGCGAAACCGTTCGTCCAAGAAGTAATCTGGTGGAAAAGAGCACTCTGCCCGCTGGCCACCGCAACCATTATGTTCACCGCATATGGCGTGCAACCATTTGCGTATGAAAGTGTCGCCTGCTTCGCGCGTGTGGCGGGAGTAAAAGGACGGGTGTTGCTGTACTGGCTGCTGGCTCAAATGCGCCTGGAAACCCAGCGCCCCTTTTAAATCGGCACGCGGCCAAAACAAGTTATGGAAGTAAGGTGCGCAGCTACAAAAAATCGCGTTGTATGCTTCGATGCGGTAGAATACATGAAACGAGCGAAATACTTAGGCCGCAAACCAAGTGAAGTAGGAGCGGAGGGGAGGAGGAGGATTTGTCCGATTTCCGACCAACCCAAAGACCGAGTTCAGGCAAAATAGCGACGTGTGAGGGTGCAGTTAGCGCGCAAGTCGCCAAGCTGAAAAATTGGATAGTGGTTGGCACGGCCAATGTCGCCGCTGCCAGAGGCCAAGCTGCCCCTCACTCGCAGTGTAGGGTCGGGAACGAACCCTCCCTTGTGCTGCAGCCACGTCGAGGGTGAGGAGATATGGCGATGACGACGACGGCGGGCAGTGGCTCTCAGACCGCGGCCTCCAGCAGCCAGCGTCGGCCCTGGCGCCATGAATCTAACAACTACCCGCGACGGCAGACGGGCCCTAGAGATGGGCTCGAAAGCTCCATGGGCCGACGCCGGACAAAAGTCGCGACGTCGGAAGGCTGGGCCAAGGTCAGATCGCGCATTGCACAAACCACAACAATTATCAAGACATGCGAACAAACATCCGACATGGAGGCGTCGTGGCCCTCGCGTTCTGAATCCTTCGGGCCCCCCTCGTCGCCGCGGCCTTGACGCAGTGCAGAAGGAGAACTGGTCTCGGGACGGTGCTCCGGAACGGCCCCCAGGCCGATGTGGAGCGGATTGGGGGTGGGGAGAAGCGGGGGATGTGGACGAGAAGTGTAAGATCAGGAGAGGAAAAAACACACAGACACAATTGATCGTTGATTCCTAGGAAAATGTGGGAAAATATGGGAAGTGGGGGGGAAGATAAACACCCAGAAAGTATAGAAACGTATGGGGAATCTTTTGATTTGTGTGTATTTCTTTGTGTGTCCTTGGGCCCCTTCGTAAGACAAGATCAGATAAGAAGCGAGCCAGGCGCTCCTGCCGAGGCTCTCAATCCCCAGCGGCGGCTTCTCCGGAGCCGCCCGGCCGCCAGGAGCTCCCCCCGCCACCCACGGCGGAGGGGGAGGGCGCCTGGGCTGAGAGCCTTTGCCTCCCAGGGCATCGCTGAAGGGGCCCCAGGACACACAAATAGATACACACAAATAAACAGATTCCCCCTATTTTCCCACACGTTCTGGGTCTCTGTCTTCCCCCCCACTTCCCATATATTTTCCCATATTTTCGGGGGGAGTCGAGGATTAACTGTGTCTGCGTGTTTCTTTTCCTCCTGAATCGCTGCAAGCGCGGGGGGAGCGCGCGGGGCCGAGCGGAACGCGCGGGGGTCGATAGAGATCGTTCGACAGATACTGCCAGTGGGGGCGATCAGGATGACGATGGGGGCGATCGGGATGGCGATGAGGGGCCAATACTTCCGCACGTGGTTCCGACACGAACGAGGATGATGGTGATGATGAGGGCGCCGCTAACAGTGATGAGGCGACTCCATTGACGACGGTGGAGATGATAGAATGACGATGATGATGATGATGATGATGATGATGATGATGATGATGATGATGATGATGATGATGATGATGATGATGATGATGATGATGATGATGATGGTAACGACGACGACGACGATGATGACGGCGATGATGGTGATGATGACGGCGAGTCTGAGGATGAGGACAACGGAGAGGAGGGCGCACAGACCTGCCTGCATGCACGTCTTCGTGGCACGCACAGACCCGCACGCATGCAAGTCTGCACGGGGCGCAGACGGAGCAGGCTTGGCGCGCTGGGCTCGCCATCTAGCGTAAGCCTTGCGCCCGTCTGGTCGCGTGGGCAGACACGCCGAATGCGTGCAAGCACGCGGGAAAGTTGACACGCCAAGCACGCGCCAAGGGAAAACGCGAGACACGCCAAAAGCGTGGGTGGCACAGGCGGGAGGGAAGCGGAGAAGGACGACGCAAGGCGGCTGGGCTGCTGTGCACGCGTGGGCCGTGCGCCCTGGCTGAAGGACGCCGCATCCGTGGCCAGGCAGTTCTCGCGTGCGGCCGCCGAGCTGACCGTTGCTTCTGCCAATCCCCTGGCGGTGCCGCCCGGCATTTGATGGCCACCATACTTCTTTCCCGAGGCCCCTGAGCTGCAATTGTGAAGGGGCCCTGGGACACACAAATAAATACACACAAATAACCGGATTACCCATATTTCCATCTATTTTCTGGGTTTTTGTCTTCCCCCCCACTTCCCATATTTTCGTATATTTTCCAGGGAATCGACGATTCATTGTGTCTGTGTGTTTTTTCCCTCGTGAAGCTGGACGCGCTGCTCGTGGCCCTCCGCGTCGAAGTGCCCATGGTTGGAGCGGCTGTGCCCAGAAGCGGCGGTCGAGCACAAAACGCCCCTGCGGGAACTGCAGAGAGCACAGCAGCTGGTGGAGCTGACGTGGGCGGGCGCCGCGTCACATAGAGGCCTCCTAGATGGGGTCGGAGGATCTCGCCGCATCGCCGATACATCGGCGATGCATCGGCGATACATCGGCGATGCACCGGCGATGCATCGTCGACGTGGGCGATGCATCGGCGCCGTCGACGTGAAGCAAATCGGGCTCCGCATCGAGTCGCATCGGCGATGCATCGGCGATGCGGCGCCATCCTCCGACCCCATCTACTCGGACCCCACTGAGGAGGCCTAGATCACAGCAACCTCTGCCTTGGACACGTCGCTATCTGCATGCGGAAAGAGCGAGCTGGTGGATCTCGTCCTGCCAGCGTAGGCGCAAGCGACGCGCTGACATACACCCATCACATCTCGGACGGACGGGCGGGCGCTCACATGCTCACACACACGCCGGGAAGCGGACCCTGTGGGAACAGAGCAATGGCGCCGTGGATCCGAGCATTCGAAGAAGAACTGCTGCCGCACAGTGCGTCACAGAGACAGTGCATCTGGGAGAAGGGCCGGTTGCAGCATGGGATGGAGAAGGAGGCGTTGTGCGCAACTCTTGCGCCACATCCCTGCGAGAAGACCCCACCCTGGGATTTGCAAGCAGAAGATCACACACATCCTGCTGCCGTGCGATCCAGTCAACTTGGGCGGGACCGAGTCGTTGTGTTACCCAGCCACGGAGGCCTTCTCGATGTTCATTCTGGGGACCTTCCTGGAGACACTCGCTCCACTCGTGCGTCGAACGCTCGTCGATTTGAGCCGACCTTGAGTCGAACCTGAGAGGAACTTGAATCGAACTTGAGTCGAACTGGGGTCGAACTAGAGTCGAACAGATCCGCTAGGTGGTCCCCAGGAAGGCCCCCCAAACGAGCATCTGAGGCCTTGCCACACCTTAAAGTATGCTAGCGGTACGGCGCGCAGCTATACCCGCTCTGTGGGTCACACTTGGAGGGGGAGGAGGAGGAGGAGGAGGAGGAGGAGGAGGAGGAGGAGGAGGAGGAGGAGGAGGAGGAGGAAGGAGGAGGAGGAGGAGGAGGAGGAGGGGAGGATGGAGGAGGAGGAGGCGGAGGAGGCGGAGGAGGGAGCAGGCAGGAGGAGGAGGACGAGGAGCAGGAGCAGAATGATGATGATGAGGAGGAGGAGGAGGAGGAGGAGGAGGAGGAGGAGGAGGAGGAGGAGGAGCTCCTGATGGAGCGCAGGCCAGTCTTGGAGTCGCTCGGGGTCCCTTCGCAGGCCTGTCGTCGGGGTCGCTCCCGCCCCGCTCGCTCCTTGGCTATGTTGGTGCCCGCTCCGCCGTGCGGTGCGCGTGGTGCCGCCTGCCCGGAATTGCTCAGGGCGCTCCTGGCAGGATCTCGCCAACCTCGCAACTGCTCCTCTCGGGGGCGCGCAAACATGGACGAGCGGTCCATGGATTTGGCGCGCGGTCGCCAGATGCATGGATCGGGGGAGGTGCCCTCCCCCAAATGCGACCGGTGCCGCCTCGGCCTGCGGCGGAAATCCGCGATTTCCAAAATGGAAACGGGACCCGACGCTAATCCACGACCCCTTGATCTGTGTATGGGGTTAGAGTACAAAGGTACAGAACCCCTGAGCCGTAGGTAGAGGAAGGAGGGAAAGATAGGGATCTTTTCCTCCTGTGCGACCAGCGTCCTGGTCTCTTCCAGTACCTGAGCCGATAGGGCAGGCAAAAGGGCTAGTGAGGAGTAGAGATGAGGGTATGAGACGGGTTCCTTTCACATGATCCATGTTTGCGATCGCCTGATACTCTGGGTCGCCCCGTGCCCGCTCGATCCTCGAGCTGCCCGTTTCACGGCGCAGCATGTCGGGGCACGCCTCGCGCAAAGCCCTCGGCATACCAAGTACCTCCCCGTCCTCCCTCCTCCCTCCTGCCCCTGCCCCTGCCCCTGCTGCTGCTGCTGCTGCTGTTGCTGCTGCTGCTGCTGCTTCTCCTTCTTCCCATCCGCACCCTACTCTCTCCTCCCTCCTTCCACATTCCATCCTCCTCCTCCTCCCTGATCCTCCTCTCTCCTCCTCCTCCGCCCTTCCTACCTCCTCCCTTCCTCCTCCTCCTCCTCCTCCGTCCTCATCTCCTCCCTCCTCCTGCTCCTCCCTCCTCCTCCTCCTCCTCCTCCTCCTCCTCCTCCTCCTCCTCCTCCTCCTCCTCCTCCTCCTCCTCCTTCCCCGACAAGGACGACGATCACGGCGACGGCGTCGCCGCCTCGAACAACGATGCCCACGGCGGCGACGACGGCAGCGGCAACGTCTACGACCACGGCGGCGACGACGGCGGCAAAGAGCGGCGGCGAGCGCGGCCTGCTGCCGGAGGCCCGCGAGGCCGTCGCCACCCGCGGGCGCGCCAGGCACCGTGCCGCCGAGGGGCTCCACGCGGAGGCTCCCCTGCTGCTCCCAGCGCTCCACCGAAGCAGGGGGGGGGGGGGGCACGACACAGTGCAGCCCCGTCCGGAAGCAGATGCATGATGGCACCGACGCGGGTGTAGAGGGAGGGCGCCGGGTCGCCAGCATAGACATAATAATACGAATACGTATGCTAACTGTACCGATATCAATCATGCTATGTTGTTACTACTACTACTACTACTACTACTACTACTACTACTACTACTACTACTACTACTACTACTACTATTACTACTACTACTACTGCTACTACTACTACTACTACTACTACGACTACTACTACTACTACTACTACTACTACTAGTACTAGTACTAGTACTAATACTAGTACTAGTACGAATGCTAGTACTAGTACTAGTACTCGTACTAGTACTAGTACTAGTACTACTACTGCTACTACTACTACTACTACTACTACTACTACTACTACTACTACTACTACTACTACTACTACTACTACTACCAATATTAATGATACTTATAATGCCAATGACCATAATTATTAATGACAATAACAACACCACGACTACAGCAGCAACAACACTTGTAGTTATGATAATGACACTAAAACTAGATATCATACTGGTAATACGAAAACTAATGCTACTAGACATAATATGATAACCATACTACTACGAATACATCATACTACTACGAATACTAAGAATAACAGCGATAATACGAGCACGAGCGATACGAATCATAGCACTAAAACTAGTACGAATAATACGAATCATACAACCAATGGAAAAAAACATCACACTACTCGTAGTGCTACTACCAATGATAATAGCCAGGGCCAGGCATGGGCCGTGCAAGTGCACACCGAGCGGCACGCAGCCGAGAGCCAGCCTGAAGGCCCCGAGGTCGGCGAGGCCAGGGCCCCGCGGGGGCGGGGGCTCCGCCAGGCCGGGAGGCGCGCCCCAGGACTGAATGGGGCCCCAGGACACACAAATAGATACACACAAATAGAAAGATTCCCCATCTTTTCCTATCTTTTCTGGGTTTTCGTCTTCCCCCCCTTCTTTCCGCACTTTCCCATATTTTTTCTGGGGAATCGACGATTCATTGTGTCTCTGTGTGTGTTTTTTTCCCTCCTGAAGGACGGGCGCCCGGAGCAGCGTCGGCGGCGCTGCAACGGCGCGCGGGCCCCGACGAGGGGCCGGGGTCACCGGGGCAGCCGCGGGGCCCACAGGTCGGCGCCCGAGTGAACTGCAAGAGGCCCTCCAAGGCCGAAGGGGTCGAAGTCGTCGAAGCCGAACTTGTCGTTGTCACCCGCCCGGCAGCGGCCAGGCGGGTGCAGCGGGGCCGCGGGCCGCGGGCTTCGCTCGGCTGGTGGGCCGTCGTCGTCGTTGTCGTTGTCGTTGTCGTCGCGAGCGACCCAGACGGGGAATCTGAGTCGCCCTCGTCCAGCGCGGCCAGTTGGGCTTGGTGCCGCAGGTCGTTCAAGAAATCGTCGTCTGGATCGAATGGGCTTGCGGGTGGCCGGTGAGTGGCAATGGGGGTCCTGGGACGCCCCCGGGTGCTGGGGATTGGGGTCCATGCGGCGGAGTTCCCCTTCAGTGTACCCGCTGCGCCTGTACAGCAGCGGCCGAGTCTGATGACGCTGGTCGTAAATGGATCCAACGGTACCGTGTACCACGACGGCGAACTGGCACCGCTGCTTTGCGTCAGCCACGACGTCCCCCAGAAGGGCTTGGAGGCCCACCACGGCTACCGGCGAGCTAGCTCGTCGGCATGGCGATGGAAGCACTCGGCGGTATCCACCGTCGACACGTTCCTCGCAAGGGTGACTTCCCACCTGCTCCACGCGGAAGAGGTCCGGCTTTGCCCGGAGCACTCGATGGTCCTGGGCCCAGAGGTCGGCCTGCGCACCAGTGGTGGGCGGCGGCGCTCCGTCCGAGAGGGCGGTGAAGCCGTCGACGACGGCTGCGCTGCCGACGAAGATGTGGCCAGAGGCCGCTCGGCCGTGGCCACGAGGTGAAGCAGCGCGAGCGCCTCGGCGCTGTGGGTGGACTGGGCCAACCCAGCCCGCGGACGCGGGCCAGGGAGAGGGTCGCGGCACAGCTCGGCCTGCAGGTTTGCACAACCGCGGATCCTCCTCCATGAGACCGCGCCGGCGAGCATGCGGTGGCAGCACAAAACCAATCTTCCTCCGAAGTCAGAATTAGCGGTCAGAGCAGGCCGTTGGGGATGTCGAGCATGGACGCCTCCGCGCAGCGTGTTCCTGCATCTCCTCCTCCTGGTCGCACCACCTGCGCGGGGGAGACCCCTCCGCGGACAGCCCGGCAGGAGACGCCCGCTGCTGCGCGCGGGGCACCAGCGCAAAAGAAAACCTCACAGAGGCCCGCGGTGCCGGGCAGAGCGCGCGACGCTGCCCTTGCCACGCCCAGGCCAGGTCGCGGCGAACGTGCCCAACCCTTGCCGCACGGCGCCAAGGGACCCGAGATCGACGCGGGACGTGGCGCTCCTTCCGCAGGAGGTGCTCGGCGCTGGGAGGGAGGCGCGAGGCATGTGGGTGCATGCGCTCGGGCGCGACGCACGCTGCGCTCGCAGGCGTCCTCAACCAGCTGAGTCTCGCACCCCGATCGTCCTCGAGCACGCCAAGAGAGGTCCATTGCCTGTCCAGCGGATGGATGGCCTGCCAGCTCGAGCCGGCCGATGGGACCTCCCCCTGCACTGATTTGCACCGGCTGCCGGGGGATCCCAGCGAGGGCGCCAAGCTGCGCTTGACGCCGCACCGCGAAGAGAACTTCCCATTGCGTCGCCGCGGTCAGCACCAGGGCATGACCGGGGACGCAAGAGGAGGGCATTACAGTAGGGGCCCGACCACAAGAAACCTTCCACAGGAAACCCAACCTTGAGACCCCAGGACGTCCGTTGAGCTTTGGCGGCGTGGGAACGTCACGCTGTCCACAGCAAAACCATCGACACCCGAAAAATCCAGGGCACCCTGGAGGCGAGCAGGGTGCTTCTTGGCATGGGCCTCCACTGTATTGGAGGCAGTTCTGGCGGGGGCACTGGGTGTGTACGGAGGTTAACGACCTAGGGGTCGAACCTACCTTGAGATCCGTAGGTAGAGGATGAAAGAAGGAGAGAAAGCGTTCTTTTCCCCCACGGCCCGAAGAAGGTCGGGCGCAATGCCGTAACCAATACCTGAGCCGAGGGGATAGCAGGATAGTTGGATAGAAAGGGGAGAGGAGCGGTCTTCATACACACACACACACACACGCAACTATTTTTGACTATTTTTGGATATCCCCCCTGTAGAGGGACAGGCCCGACTTAACACTAGACGGACAGTATATTCGAAGCCTTACGCATTCGAGGGGGATTCTAAATCCCCCCCACGCCCTCGACATCCATGTTGATCTCAGCAGAGGGGGTACTTTGGGGGTTCGAGTATTTCTGTCCACTCACGCCCCCCCCCGTCGCCGCGCCATCGATATCAGTTTCGGGGGGTCTGGGGGGCGGGGGCATCTTGGGCCACAGGGCTCGAATCTAGTGTGTCCATGTACGGGGGCTCCTCGTCGGCAGGCTTAGGTCGGGCATGTGATCCTACAGGCGGATTTTGGACGAAAAGTGCAGAGCTGACAACATATACTCAGCAATAATCAAGAATAGCCAAAAGAACAATCGTCCCCTGACTATTTCTGCCTATTACTGAATACTCCTCCTGTTTCTTATTACTAGTTTGATTATTCTTGATTATTTGTTGATCCTTTTTGAATGTTTCTGATTATTTTATACCATGTTTTGACTATTCCCCAGACTATTTTTGACCATTATTGCATACTCCTCCTGTCGAGGGACATGCCCGACCCGTCGGCAGGCGCGGGGGGGCGACGCGGCGGCGCGGCCGCCCGCGGGCCTCGCCCGAGAGGCCCCGGGCCCCGCGGGGGGCCCGCCGCCCGCCGGGGGCCGCGGGGCGCGGCTCGCGCCCGAGAGGGCCGGGGGCCGAGCTCCGATGGGGGCCACGGCGTGGCCGAAGGTTATGTTGCATCCTCGGGGGACCTTGTCTGTCCCGTCGCGGCCCTGTCCGCGTCGAATCCGTGTCGAATCCATGTCGGACGCGTCGGATCCGTGTCGAATCCGTGTCGAATGCGCGTCGAATCCCACCAGCCCTTTAGGGCGTAGGTGGTCTAGAGAGTTTCCTCTGCCAACCCCCCTTCTTTCCCTTCGGGGAGGGGTTTACCCCTCCCCTTACCCCTCCCCACTGACCTGGACGGGGCGTTCCGCGACGCGTTGGGACGCCCAAGATGGCTCAAGACAGCTCCAAGAGCGGAAAGGCGAGAAAGCACAAAACATTGATTTTACCTAGGTTTTGGAAGGATTTTGGCCTCTTGGGGGGCCCAAGAGGCGACTCGAGGCACTCTAGAGGGGCAACGCTAATTGGGGACCCCCTCTTCTTTGATCGATCTCCTCCAAGATGGCCCCAAGAGCGCCCCGAAGGCTCCTAAGAGCGCCCCAAGAGCGCCCCAAGAGCGCTCCAAGAGGCCCCAAGAGGCGCCCAAGAGGCCTCCAAAAGGGTCCCAAGAGACCCCCAAGAGGCCCAAGAGGCTCCCAAGACGGCCCAAGACGGCTCCAAGAGCGAAAAGGCGAGAAAGCACAAAACATTGATTTTACCTAGGTTTTGGAAGGATTTTGGCATCTTGGGGGAGCCCAAGAGGCGACTCGAGGCACTCTAGAGGGGCAAGGCTAATAAGCAACCCCCCCTTTTTTTGATAGATCTCATCCAAGATGGCCCCAAGAGCGCCTCGAAGGCTCCCAAGAGCGCCCCAAGAGCGCCCCAAGAGGGCCCCAAGAAGCCCCAAGAGGCCCCCAAGAAGCCTCCAAAAAGCCCCCAAGAGACCCCCAAGAGGCCACAAGAGGCTCCCCGAGATACGCAAGAGGCCCCCGGGACCGCCAAGAGGCCCCAAAGACGGCCCAAGAGGCCCCCAAGCTCGCCATTGTCCTCCTCCTCCTCTTTCTCTTCCTCCTCCCTCCTCCCCCTC